GATCATTCCTGCCCCGTTAACAGTCTGTTACAACCTTCTGAACCTGAACCTGGACAATCAATGCCATGTTGGTTTCTCCTTTGCTTTTGTCAGAGACAATTTTGGATAAGTCACTCTTTGGTAAACTCAAACMATTTTAATACATTTACAAATACAAAGAATTAGATTTAAATAATGTTAAGATTGTGACACAGAGAAATTCAAGAAATATAAAATTGGTACCCATATCCTGCTATCTTCAAATCATCCTTCCAGCGAAAAAGTCACACCAAAGGCACCACAGCACAGGTTCAAGATAAAGGGTTAAAAATAACTATACATTTCTTGGATTTTGCGTGTCTCAAACTTAATTTACCAAAACACACTTTTTGTGTTTAATTACCTAAAACRAATACGTAAGGAAAAGAAACAGTATCAAAAACGCCAACATGTTTTTAGATGGGTAAACATACAGACTACCTGCCCTAGACACAGACTATCCCTTCCCTTAATGGAAACAAAAGTTCTATTTTTGCTTCAATGAGAAAAACATCTCCCCACTCCCTGCCTCTTTAYTTAGGCAGTTTTAGGACCAAGAGGCAAACTATGTAGTCAATTTAACTGAAACTGCTCCAATGGACCAGGTGCGGGTTATACAGTAAATTTATGTTTGAGAGATTAATTCTTATTGCAGATRTCACAATATTAAGAACCAGAGTATTTAATAAAACTACTGCACAAATATGGCCCAGCTTCACAGAGGCCACAAAGTTTTACAAGATAGCAAATCTATCTTTTTTCTTTCCRGTAATTTGGAAAGAAGCTTCTATTTTTTAATTTTTTGGAGTTAAACAGCACATTCACAATGTATTTTCAGTATCAGCTAAACAAACATACGACCCAATAATATGAAATCTGTATTTTAAAGTATGTGATTAATTTAATGATTAATTCTGTTCATCAGGCAGAATTCAGGTAGAATGTTAAACAATATTGTGTTTGCCAGTCCATGCTCTTAAGGTTTCTTAAGCCATTGATGTCTTGTGGAATGGGGTTTTTTAGTTTGTTTTGGTTGGTTTGTGTAGGATGGGGGGGGGGCTTTTGTTTATCTATTGTTGGGGATWTTTTTCTTAACCATTATGATCATATTTCACATTTTATATATTATACTGACCTAAATTATGAAGTTAGCACCATATTAAAAACACATATTTGGTGGAACAAAAATATTTAGAGTATTTTTAAAGTTGTTGGTAGCTCCTTAAAGGAGAAAAAAAACACTGAAAAAAAACAGAGAAGCCATAGCAACTCTGTAATACTCACACATGAAATAACATATTGCTCAAAATTCCCGGAGAGTATTTGTTTTTCTATACAAAAAAAGTACAAATTCCAAGTGCTGGCATATCACTTGGAGATTTAAGTAGGAAGTCAATGTGCACCTGAAAACAGCTCTCTGTGAAGAGACCTATTAAAATACTGTTTGGAAATACTGTGGTTTAAACTCCATTTCTCTCATGTTTTAACTAACCATGAAGAGTGATGAAGTTAAGTTTAATTACCTGGTATGGTTCTACAGTACGAAATGAAGGTAGATTCTGAGGCCAGTAAAAACACATCTTAGACCACAATGCTACTTTTAGGTTTGCTAATATTTTTTTTCTCTTTTTTTTTCTTTTTTAACATATATATATATGTGTATATCTATATATATATAGATATATCTATCTCTATATATATAAAAAGGTCAGCACCACAGGTTGTCCAGCTTGCACCCTAGACAACCAACAAAATCCTTCAACAATTTAACCATAGTTTAATAGATTTATGGCATTTGGTTCACTTACGTTATAAAGCAAAGCTGTTAAAACAAGTTAATTCACTTTGCTTACTTTTGCACACCAAGTAATAGTTTAATAAAATGAAAACCAAACAACATTCGTTTAAAACCAAAACCATCCTCCCAAAGTCTGAAGTTCTAAACCCTAAGCAGAGAGGAGTCCTAGCAGTTGAAAGAGTGGCATACGCTATCAGCCTTGACATACTTTTACATTCACCTCAACCTGAATAGAGAAAGTGAAAGCATTTTATATATATAAAGCATATTTATATATATAAACAGACTCACTACCAAAACCAGTTAGCAAGAGTGAACGGATTTCATTGTGACACGAGAGGAATCAAAGCTGTGATATTCTCTCTCCCCACTGCTGTGTAACTCATTACCAGCAACAGGATTTAAGAAATAAAATRAAGGAAATTACAGCTTCTTTGAGCATTCAGCAGATCTGCCAATCTTACTCTAATATCTTTCTCCACTGTCATTTGTGTCTTGCCAGATCAATCAGCAGGGACACTTCAGTGGACTCTTCTTATCCTTTCCCCAGTACACTGTCTTTATATTCTGAGCATCTTCACATAAAAAAGCAAACCCCAAACAACTCAGCTTCCTTGGAAAACTAAGAATACTTATGTAGTCTTCTCCAGAAACCATTCCTAACTAATTTCCAGAAGATCACAAAAATTAAAAGGCTGTTACACTTGTACTGAAGATTATTAATAGAATAAAATACTTTAAAAATACATTAGTAATGTGCTTGTCCGTGTTGCAGTTAGATGTAATACTTTAATCAGATGTGTTAGACATTACATGAATTTCCATACTAGAATCCATGGCTTCAGAAGCTGAAGCATCATTATCTACTTTCTGTTCCACAAACGCTTCTGTTCTGTCTGGAGACTCAACCCTGCTCCTCACTTCTGTGACCCCGGGGTGATTTTTTCGCAAGTGCTGGTTTAGTGTACCCTGGAAAGGAAAACATTTTCCACAGATCTCACAGCGAAAGGGTTTGTCATCTGTGTGACCACGAATATGATACTCAAGTTGGTCCTTACGGGTATATTTCTTTCCACAAAACTTGCACACAAACGGAGTTATTCCCATGTGCAATCGCATGTGTCGATCAAGGCTCCCTTTCTGGTTGAAAGATTTCCCACAGTAAATACAAATTAGCCTCTCATTGTATGGATACCAATGACCTCTTGCATTTCTTTCCCGTGGACTATTTTCATATCCTGGATTACTCACCATGGACTCATTGTCAGCCCCTTGCACCAAGCCCTGGACATCACTATGCAAGTGGCCTGTAGGTACTCGTTTTTGGCGTGCACGACCCCCTCTGAAACAGCTCAGCATTGACCTTGAAGGACTTGTATTACTCAGGCTTCCCAAGGTTTCTGACACACCCGCAGCCTGTGATGAGGCATGGGTAAATGAATAAACATGCTGTAAGACAGACCCATAAGAACCAACATTTACTGCCACCACCTGCTCTCCATCCACCATTTCAGTGTGATATCCATCATCACCAAGAGAAGAGCTATCAGAGCAGCTTGGCCTGTCAGACTTTTCCATTTTAACTTTCACCTCTGCAATCTGACTTTCCCTTACTACCAGGTCTCCTTGCTCATGATCACCTTCAATCTGAATCTCATATTCAGAGATACTGCCGCTGCTTCCTCGGTCTGAATGCCCTTCTTCTTGGAGGCGACTACGAAGGGTTTTGCCTGGAGTAGTTTCCATCCGAAGATCGCTGCCTGCTGTGGACTGTCGCACCTGAGAGCAATAGGGAGGAGATATCTCAATAGGGTTGGCAAAGTAGCTGCTGTCTTTAACGCCATTGCGATTCTCTGAATTTTCTTCGGCACCAACAGTGACAGAATCAACATCACCAACACTGATCTTTGAATGAATACTCTCCAGTATCTGCGTGCACTTGTCAATGACGCACTGCATCTGTAGGAAGCTAGCTGCAGTCAGAAAACTGACAACGTCCTTCAGCTGCAAGGACATCCTTCCAGTGTAACAAAAAGAAAGCAACTGTTCAAAAACATTGGGGTTTTTAATAACTGATATAGATAGGCCACTCATGGTGCTTAATGCTGAATGGTCACGAAAATACGGAGAACTGGCAGCTAAGACAGCTTTATGGGCGCGGAACGGCTGACCCTGGATGTGCACGATTATGTCACAGAGTTTCCCTTGCAAACGGAGTTCGTTTAACTGGCTCAGAACAGTGTTGCTGTACTCGGGCACATCAAACTGAATGAAACTGCTGCTGTCCATTTCTACAGATGTAAAGAGTAATCTGAAAGAAAAATTAGAAGATTTACAACAGAGAATGAATACAGAGTTTTGCATTTCAAAAATAAATGCTAGCAAATGTAAAGTTAAATCACCACATTGATTGGTTAAAGGTGTGTTACAACAAAACATTTAGCATAAATACTTAATAAAAAGGCAGAATCTTAATCTATGCATTTTTTGCATTTCTATAATTTTAATATCCCTCCGCAACATTCACAACGCAGTTGCTCAGAATACATCACAGTCTCCCTGAGACAGTCTGTCCTCAAACAAACTTCGCATTTTCATTCCTGGGCAAGAAGTGCAGAACAATACTTCCACCCCTGCATAAGCACATCAATTTTATAGCCATAGGCAAAGTAAACACTTCAGAACCCTGAGTAGGTGTTTAAGCCAGATATTACAATTCTGCTTCCAGGGAACTGCATAGTTAAATTGCCCAAGAATGATTGTTGGAAGGTACTTTATATAAAGTTTGAAAAATCTCCGAAGGAAAAATCACAGGCAGGTGTGTATGTGTGCAGATTTGAAAGAAAAGTGTTGCAGCCATCCATGGACCTTCATTTTTTTAAAAAAAATTCTTCAGTGATTTAAATCTTTTTTTAAACAAACCATGATGTGAACTTTGTAGCTCATCTGACACAGCAGTGATTTCCTAGTTAGAATAACTTGACATTTAAATTCTAACCTAACTTAAAAGCCATGGGTACTCAAACACCAGGAAAGGACATTCAACGAGCCTTTAAAGAAATGTTTGGAGCTCCAAACAAAAGCTAAAAAAAAGCACTTTTCAGATTCCTACCGTAAAAAGCACACACACACACTTTCACCCTGAGAGTGTCTATCTGCAGCATTACCTTATATTTCCAAAACTGGGCACTTATCAAGTGCTCATGAACCGTCAGACTTTCATTGCTATTTTGGTTCTTATTAATACAGAAGTCTAAAGACGTAATATTTCCACCATACCTGCCTTTCCAATTGAACAAACAGATCTCAACATCATCCATTGACTTCGGATGCAGGAAGCATGCCCAATGTATCACAATATACTAGTGGATATTTTTTCTATTATGTTACCTGCTGTAATGGGACATATGAACAATTTAATTCAAATTATGAAAATTCAGGCACTCTAAAAAGAAAATCAACAGACATAAATAGGATAAAATGACTAAAAGGAAAAACTGGAGCTCTATCAGCTGATCCTCACTTAAAACATTCACAACCTTCACTTCCTTTCAGCAGACACAGGAAAGCTAGCTTCCTGACTGGACATTATGTCTGATTTAGGAAACTAGCAAAAACTCTCACAGAACATTCAAAATCAAATTGTCAGACTTTCTAAGCGTGTTCTTTAAGTTACCAGTTACCATTAAAATGGGCAAACTGGACTTCATTTGAGTTTTATAGCTAAGATGCAAAAGCAAGGTTAAAGACATTTTATAGGCTCTTATATCTGAGGTGGGAAATAACGAATGCAAGATGGTTACCAGAAATGATATGACTGCAGTAATCCATTCAGAGATGGCTTTGGTAGGACAGTTCTTTTATTCAACACACAAAGCTACACAACGATTCAGAGCTGTGAGCTGCTGTAAGTCAAAAACCAAACAGTACAACACACGAGGTATCCCAGCAGTGGGGTAGTTACAYGGCAAGATGAACCCTGCTTTTCCGAGCATCCCTGCCTGCTGTGCAGAGAACCACTATCCCATGGGCAAGACAGGAGTTCCAGCAGATGGATACATGTTTATGCTACAAATGAGTGTTTTAAGATGCTTACAAGAATCAGCAGGGAGGAGGGGATGCACCATCACAATCTGCCACCTTCACCCATGCCTGACAGGGCTGCAGGCTTCTTAGAAACCTTTAATTTGTGGGGCTTATTAGCTATGCACATCAGCAATTCCTGATTAACTTTCTCTTTGCTAAATGGTGTAAGAGCTTTTGTTGACTTGAAGTGACATGAATGAACAAGTTACCTGGGTCAGGGACTGTGTACAAACCAAAAGACCAGTCCCCAGCAGCAATAATTTGGCATTCCAGTCTAGGATGCACAGAAAGTTTGTCATATTTACAGAGTGGCCTTCCTCCTCCTAGGGCTCTTACTCAGCAAAATGGAGAATAACTTACTCCTGGAGAAAATATTAAAAGGTACTCTAAAGCACAAATTAACTTTGGACACATCCACTATATGCTCTGAATAAAAAAATTATCCCTGCATTTAACCAGTCATAATGAAACTTATACACATAATTCTTTAAAGAATTAGCACAGGTGAAGAAGAAAAGATAAAGCTTGGTCAGAAGTCCCATTCAGCACCTTCCATGGTATCTGGGAACCTGTGTTATTTAGACTCAGTATAGTCATACAAAACAATAGCTCCAAATTATGGCAGTTTTATTTGCAATATACAAACTCAAACATTGGAGGGTAGTCAATACAATTTTAGTTGGATTTGATCCTTTTGGGTCCCTTCCAACTCACAATATTCTGTGCTTCTGTAAACTCACAGAAACCTTAGGTACACTCATTGTTAAAAAGTAATGCATTTCGTCTTCTTTAGCTTTCACCCATGCCTGTGAGTCAGTGTAAAGTTAGGGTAAAGTCATGTAAAATTTCAGTCGGGGCACCTGTCTATGAATAGGTCCTCTCTTAACCTTTCCTCAAAAGTAGATCAAAATGCTTAAGGTTTTCAAGGGTATTATGTATCCAAGAAACTGGCTGAAGGCATAGGCCAAAACTGGAAACCAGGTTCTCGAAGTCCTAGCAAGGCTCTGTGTTGAGCCTCCCACCTATTTCTGTAAGAGAGGTGATCTAGTCATGCTCAAAAGAATCATATCAATTCTCTTTGCATCTGCATTGCATTTATTCTTTGGGGTTTCATACAGCAAATGCTGTAACCCACAAAATGGCTTTACTAGTACAGGATCACTGCCCTATGTCTTCAAACGAAAGTATTCATTGAAGTAACCTGTGAACATCAGAGTGATAGGCATTTAACATTTCTTGTTAGATTTAAAAAGAAACTTCCTTTCAAAATAATGTTCTATGAAAACCCTTATTTAATTAAAAAAACCAACAAAACAAGAATAGATGCTGACAAACCACATTAAGTATTTAATTTTACTGACATCATACAGTAACAGCGGAGAAGCATCGTATAACTATTACACGACGCTGTGTGTCTGCCAACATAGTATTAGTTTCCTCTTCTAAGTCTGCACCTGTTAAATTTCCTTCACTCACTGAAGTATGATTCACCATTCCCACAGCCAGATGAATGACAGTCATTTTAACTCACACAAAGGTGTGAGAAAAGATCCCCTGCATTTTCTTCAATTAGCTCAGCAACAAGTAATCCCTGGGAAAAAATCACATTACAAACCATTACTGTTGTAGCACCTCTGAAAACAGAAATACATAGAAAAGCTAGGATGGTCATAGTGAAAATTAAGACAAAAGCAAAACAAAACACTTCATGAYACCAAAACGCCTCTAGCAGAAAACAAATGACAGGACAAGAGGAAATAACCTCAACCTGCGCCAAGGAAGATTCAGGTTAGAAATCAGGAAGACTTTCTTCACTGAAAAAGTTGTTAAGCATTGGAAGGGGCTGCCCAGGGAGGCGGTGGAGTCCCCATCCTTGAAGGTGTTAAAGARATTTSGATGTGGCACTCAGTGCTCTGGAACGGGTGACGAGGTAGTGATCAGTTAAAGACTGGACTCAACTGGACTCTTGGAGGTTTTTTCCAACTTAAAGTGATTCTGTGATACTCCTTCCACACATTACTGCTCAGAATACACAGAAAAGGCAAAAAATTAATCAGGTATTTATGTAAATTAGTACACTCCTCGCTGGCATCTTGTAGGAGGTAGTATCTACACCACCTGGGCCAGAACTCAAAGACATCACTGCAAAAATGTATCATCATTCAAGAAAATCTTATCCTAGGAATGTAACCTTATCAGCTGTGATCATGGAAGTTTTTGTGAAAAAATCATCATTCTTACTCCTTTCAAACTGCATTTGCATTAGTCTTCAGATTTACAGCAGTCTCTACTAATTAACAGTAGCTGTATCAAAATATGACATCAAGTATGTCACAGGCTAGAGAGGTCTCTAAGACACTCTTGAAATAATCTGTGAAAATAGGGAATAGACTGATCACATAATATTTTACCAGCTTATACCTCTCATAACAGTAAAGTATTAATTATCCTTTAAAAGTCAACATTCTGTGCCCTTGGATGGCCTTCAACAACATACCACACAGCCCTGCTGCTGAACCGAAATTCCAACCCCAAAGCAGGGTAAGCCATGCCACTGCCAAAAACCAAGAGTTTAATTCTGCAGCATTTAAAAATCCCCAAAAAAGGGTAAAAAACTCACATAATCTCCCAACAACTAAGATAATTTTTAAGTACGACAAACTTACAATACAAGCAGCACTATGCAAATATGCAGAAATGGTTTTTGCATTAATTTTTCACTTCATCCAAAGTGTCCATTGGAATCAAAGAAAATACAGGCAGTTTGCCCAAATGACATGTAGGAAAGCACACAACAAAAGGTGCATGTGGCACATGATACATTGGAAAATAGCCTTGAAAGTCAGTCTGCTTCATTTCTGGTTTAGATTACAATACAGAATCTGTTAGAGAGGTGAAAACAACATAACAATTTAAAATTTCATTACTTTATCTCATAAAAATGCAGTAAATGCCCAGTTTCCTCAGAGTTAATACAGGTTGAAATGTAGTTACTGGAAAACTAAGCTCTTGCACTCATGCCTTGGCAGGTATCAAAACACTCCAGTGCAAATCATCATTCCTTCTCTGCAGCCAAACAGGCCACGCTCTACCCAAAGTATTGACCACCTGCAATGAAAGATCCAGCAAAGCTCCTGCATGGCAGGTGCATATTCTGGCAGTGCTGTGGGACACAACCTCACTAACTGCTTGGGAGCACAACACTAACCCCTGACACTCAGTCCAATAAAGCTTCACTAACTCAGACTTTTGTCTAACAAAAATTAAAAATTATTTATTTTTATCTTACCTAGATTCACAACATGACAAACAGAAAATCACTACAAAGAGTGGATGATTTTAGCATCAAAATAAAATGAATTTATTTAGAGGTATATACATATAGGCACATGCATATATACACATATGCCAAGACCAGTAATGCTACAAACTTATTCTCAGTGGTTAGCGTGGTGCAGCAGAGAAACTGTTGAAATGGCATATTTAGCATTTTATAGAAAAAAAAAGGAGCCTCTTATTTGAGCAAATAGCTAAAGAAAGCAGATATGAAACTGAAGTCCAAAGGCCACCTTTATCCTTTATTCTCTTAACTATCTTCCTCACAAGTGCTTGCCTGTGTGGAAGTGATTGAAAGAGCAAAATGAAACAACTATCAACGCATAATAAGTTTCACCTAACAATAAGGAACCTTAACAGAAATAATCTCTAAATCTTGACTCTACAAATTACTACAAAAGTAGTTTCAGGTACGTAGTTATTTCTGAATGCAAAAACAAAAAAAAAAAGTTACTAGGAGGCAAACTGGAGATAAGCCAAAATCAAAAGGCGCCTGTGTGTCTTTGATTCCAGTATCAATAGAAGTATTGTACCATATAAAYGAAACGAAGGGGCATGTTGATGATACATACACTTCAAATAAGCAAGATCTTACAAGTAATGATCAAAAACTTTTACTTTGTGCACACATTTCACAATATCCCCATTAAGTAATGCTAAACAGCCACGTTTTCTGAATATTTGACAACTTTGAAATATCACCATCATTATAAAAATACTCCAGCTTGTACTTTGAGACTCAGGATATACATACAGCCAGAACTTTCACAAGAGGGAAGAGGGCTCTTGAACCTTCGGCTATTACAATACTATTTACAACCAAGGTAATAATTCATCAGTATTGTGCACTTTAATCCACCCATTTTTAATTTTTTAAAAAACAGTAGTCACTCTTCATCAAATTGTTAACTTCTTGGCTCTGATGTTTAAGCAATGAAGTGACTATGTTCTCTATATATCAGCAACATCTTTTGTAGTAGATTTACAATAGCTGCGAAGAGTAGATTTTCATTATATTTTCCCGGCTCATTACTTGGGACAAATGAAACTCTTTGGAGCTGTCTCTGGATAGGCAATGAAGCACAGGCGCATCCTGATCCAGATGTTGAGGATTCAGTAACGTGTAACAACTGCAGTGCAGCTAATCCTACATCACTTTGTTTTCCCTGGAAAACCAGGCTCACCTGTATTAATGTTTCTGAGACTATTCTGGTTTGTTCTAAATTAACTCTCAACTCTGATCTACTCTACACCAAATCCAATTCTGCTTGCCGTGCACAACTGCAGGGATTTTAAAAGACCCTCGTATTACAGAGATTAGGGTTTCACTAGAACTTCCACCTTCTCTGACGGAACAGCAGCCACAGAGTCCCCCAACTCCCGGCAATGAACAAGCCCCGAATGGGGCCAGGTTCGCTCCGCCCCAGTCCGCCGTGTCGGGAATTGTACGCCTCGCTCGGGTTAAGAGCAGAGCCCTCCCCGCCCGCCAGCACGGCCCCGGAGCCGCGGGCTCGGGTTACGCGACAGCTCCSGGCGAGGCACGGCCGGGCCAGGGCGGACAGGACGGAGCCGCTGCTGCCGCTCCGGGCAGCCCAGCCGAGGCACGGGCCGCGGTCACCGCCCCGCGGGGCCCCTCAGGCGCCGGGTCCCGGTCCCGAGCACGGCCCGTCCCACCCGGCAGCGCCCGGCGCCGCTCACCTGCGGCTGTCGGGGGCTCTCACATGGCGGATCCCGGCCAGCCCGGCCCGCTCCCGCTTCCCGCCCGCTCCCGCAGCCACTCGCACCCGGAACTGATTCCGCCGCCGCCGTTCCGCTTCCTGCTGACGCCCCGGCAGCGGGCGGTGCCCCGGGCCGGCCCCGAACCCGCCCCGCTCGGGCGCGGAGCCCCGGCGCTCCCCGGGCCGGCCCCGAACCCGCCCCGCTCGGGCGCGGAGCCCCGGCGCTCCCCGGGCCGGCCCCGAACCCGCCCCGCTCGGGCGCGGAGCCCCGGCGCTCCCCGGGCCGGGCTCCAGCGGGGCAGGGCGGCGGATGGGAGCGCTGGCTGGAGCCGCTGCGTGCGCGGGCTGAGCTCTCCCCAGAACTCTCCTGGTGCCCAGCTCCACAAGAGAACGCSCACTCGGAGCCGTACTCCGTTCTCGCAGATGAAGTGAGGGAGGACATCCCCCACTCCAGGCGTGAATTACCACCTTTCTTGAGCAAAGAATTTAAATGTTTACCTGTGTTACACTGGCTTTGCAAATCACAAAAATCGCTTCAGCAACTGCACAGAATTCTTTTTTAAAATTATCTTGCATATGCCTTTAGGTCAGGTAGTGCAACAATTCCGTTTACGAACCAGACATTTCATGTACTACTTGATCAAGAAGCAACTGGTAGCAGTAGGTCCTCCTTGGATACCCACCTAGTCTAACTGGACACCTCATTCTGTCTTCTGGAGACAAGTCTTTCTGTCTCTATAAAACATGGAACAAGGCTCTTCATACATTAGACACTGAATGCTGCTGCACAGACGAAGTAGCAGCCTGGGAAGTATCCTGGCCAGGGCACAAATAACGCTTAAAGAACACACGAAGAGTTTGYATTCGTTTACTCAGATAAAAGAAACCCAAACAACTAACTCTGAACAGGAAGAAAACTTAGGGCTTATTCTTATGTGTTCAGTAAATGTAACCAAAATAGAAAATTTTCCGTACCATATTCCATTTGAATTTACTGAAGACTGAGTGTGTTACACAAATACTGACTTCTCAAGCTATTAGCTGAATATGCTTTCAATGAGCTCAATTTTTTGCTTAGGTAGCAAGCAGCAGCTGGGATGGATCCACAAGGACTGAGCAGATGGAGGCTGGACAAAGTCAAGTGGTTCAGTATCAGCACCGAAATTTAGTCAGGGAGAGAAGGAATCCTCACAGGAACATCCTTTTAATATTTTTTGCAGGATGCAATTTCTTTCATACTTAAGAGTCTGTTATCTGTACCTACTTCATATGTACCAAGAGGCCTCTGGGACATTCAGTTGCTCCACCTATTAAGTGAATATTCTGGAATTTTCCTGTCAGCMTGTACATTATGTATTGTAACTTCTGAGATTACCATTCTGCAAAAAACATTTAAAACAAAACCTGTTTGATAAATTTGAATTAGTATGGAAGCCAATTACCTAATGCAGCAAAGAAATGTGTCCAGTATCACAAATTCATAAAACTTACTGTGTCAAAAATCAAGTTTTAGTTTAGTGTTTTCTTAGATAGACTGGCATATTCTCATTATTTCAAAAAGACACATTACTAGATACTCTTTTTCTTTATATATTTAATAAAGTTATATATCAACAACTTTTGGATTTGTACTTTTTGAGCACTTAGTTTGGCAAAGTGAAATATTAAATACTAGTACTAGACATGCATTCCTTTCATTCAAGCTTAAGAAAACATTTACGAAGTTAACAGATAACATTTATTAAAACATGTTATACAAAAAAAGGGGCATGGGACTCTTCTATAAGAAGAAAATATTGAACAGTAACATTAAATTAAAACCATGCTGTACAATTAGAACAGCAATATTTATAGACAAAACTATCCAACCTCTGCAATACAGGCATAACATCTCACAAAATATCAAGATATGCAAATTTACTATTATAAATGACTTGTTTAGAATAAAAACTTATAGCTCATTAAGGAAGATTCACTTGAATTGCATAAACAGTTACATTTCTGAAAGAAATACGGAATCCCATGAATAACAAAAAAAGGAGCAGCTATCAACACAAACAGGCTTCAAGCAAAAATCCGAACTTGCAATTTAATCACATAAAAAATATACCATTTTCTTTTCCAGCATCTTTCCCATGGGCACTGACTGTTTACACCTATTAGGTAAAGAAGCCAAGCTATCCAATGAAGCATTTAAAAGACAAAAAAAACAACKTTCCATTGTTGCTTTGAGAAAGGTCCTAATTATGTTACAGCAAAACACTCAATATACTGCTGTAGGCTCTCGTAATTCAGACAGGTCACCTTGTTGGCACCCAGGCAGAAGTACTGAGATTACAAACCTGATGTGCCTCCATTCTTTCAGGCTCAATAATACTGGAATGCTCCATACATCAGCCTTTGATCACCTGCCTTGCTTATGATACAGGATGGTTCCTCAGCCTCAGACACACTTCAGATGAAAAAAGCTGTGACCAAAAACTGTACTGACAATACCTTCGAGGGTCTACCTACTCACCCATMAACAAGTAAAGTTTAAAAAATGAAGAAACAAAAAAGAACTCCACAAACCAACATTGATGTGAAATAAGTGTGTGTGTGAAATAGGAACCTTCTTCTTCAAAAAGGGTCTGATAACCTAAGCAGATTTTAACCCTGCTAAGAGTTGAATTTTTCAGAATGACAGTTACACAGACTTCATGGCAATTAACATCTTAGTTACAAAATGGAATGAAAAGGAACTTAAGCTGCAGTATCATTAGGTCTTCTTACCACTGCTAGGATAATGAATGGCTTCAAAGCAGCAGGAAAGTCTGAAAGCCACCTGGGTATACAATATTGCTGGCTTTCAGGAGACACACACTTTACTACAGCCAACAACCACATCATCAAAGGTAATGAAGCACAAGGAAAGATTAACAAAATTCATCATTCATGTCCTGGTTTTACTCAGTCCAGTTTTTGGCAGTGGGGGGATAGGACCAAGAAACCACTAAGATGGCTCCTTTGACAAACTTCTAGAAGCTTTCTTCGTCTCCAGCAAACGGAGCCCTGCCCCCTGTGTTTTAGAGCCAATCCATTGTGGCTCTGAGGGTGATGGACAGGCTGCTCATCAGGCCTGGGCCAATTGCACAGGTTGGTTACACCTCTGTGACGACCTATGGTCTTGTACTTGAGAAGAATTCAAAACAAGATAAGAGTGTGTCCGCCATGTAGTTTTTAGGTTGTTAGTATTTAGTTTTAGTATCATGCACCGGGGGAGGACAGAGCAGGAGAGTGAGGAGATGTAAGAAAAAAAATGGAGACCCAAGATCACAGGAGAAGATGGGATGGGTTGCTGTGGTGCTCAAATATGGAGGAAGCAAGCTGTTCTCGAAAGGACTATTTCTTCAGTGGGAGACCTGTATAGAAAAGAGAGCGACCTTGCTCTGAGAAAAAAATCTGGCCTTTTGAGGACTGGACTGATCAAAAGCCAAAAAGGGGGAAGAGGCTTGCCCCCCCCCCACCCCCATGTCGGAAGTGAGTTGAACTCAGAAGAAGCTGTGTTCTGCCAGATTTGTGATAGTGGCTTTATGCCGCTGAAATAACACAGTCGGCCTTGGAGAACTGTCTTTCCTTTCTCCCACAAGGTAAAGAAAAGAATCCCATGCCATCAGCAGTAATATTGAAAGGGACTGTTTCTTGGGAAAAGACTTTCCACAGCTAGGAGCTGTAAGAACGCTTCTCCTATGATGCTGACGATAACCATAATGAGTAGTTTGATCTATGTTAGACTTTCATTCCTGCCCCCCTTTGTATGTGGGAARRCATGGGGGTTTGGAGAGGGACGACATGAGAAAGAGAGAGGTCCCTGGAAAGAAAAACACATGTCTTACAATGTCTGCTTTTTTTCCTCTCCTTGTAAATTTTTCCCTATCTTTGTTCCCCTCCCYGGTGCAGTAGTATTCTTAGTAGTTTTTAGTAATAAATCTATTTTGCAACTTAAGTTATTCAGCCTGACTAACCATTTTCTGGAGCATATACATATCTTTGTCTCAATTACGTTATGTTATCTGAAAGCCATAAATTTTCGTGTTAATTGGGCTTTTGCTCTCCCTTCTTCCTCTCCGGKGGGGGGGAGGGAACGTYGTTGGGTGCTTTTGGCCCAGTTCAAGCCCCGACAATATGCAATCATTATATATATATCTATATGGATTGCTTCCCTCCTCCCCACAAACAAATGATTTTTTGTACCTTGAACAAGACCACTCCACTGGCAAAGATTAGAAGCTTGACAGAAGCTGCGCGTCTGTGYATCTTGGCTTGCTACGTTCACCTACACTGGCCACCACTGGCAGGGAGTGCAGGAGTGACGCGTGGCCAGAGCTTTTGAGCTGCCCTGTGCTAGTCAAAACAAGTTCAGCCTGCAGAAAAAAATGGAGGTGAACAATCTACTGCAAGCCAAAATCTCAACCAGAGGTGCATATAATGCTTCTGCTTACACATACTTAAGGAAGAGAGGCAGCTGCTAGCAAGAGCTGCAGGGAGACACATGGAGAAGATAGTCCTGGGTACATGTGGAGAAACTGAAGAGCCGTTCTTGGGGAAACACCTGAAGAAGTCACTGAGAACACGTAGAGACATACTTACAGAAGGACACATTCTCTACTTGAGGAGATTCACTTCTAAGAGGACTTTGGCCTACAGCTAAGCCCTGCCAGAGCAGGTACACCTCTAAAAATGACTGAGTTGCACAGGAGAACCAAGCTGGAACAGACACATCCCTGAAGGGACTGTGGCCTGGTGCCACCGTGAATAGTGACACTGACCAGCCCAGAGGACACCCACTAAGAAATGAAAGCATCAGACAAGAAAGTGTGCATATGAGCCCAACCTCCTGTGTGAACTGTCATCTTACTAAAGGAAATGGAAAGAGCTGGATGCAACTCTTGGTGAAAGCAAGGGAAACTGATACTACAAAGGCAGGGAGGTGTTGGACTTAAGCTGAGCCTGAGGAAGATGGTTTAAGTAATTTTTCATCTTTGCCCCCACTACCTGAAATGCTGATTAGAAGTTTGACAAAGGGCAGTAAACTGAATTCAAGAGAAACACCACAAGACAACTGTTTCACCTGTGACATGCAAAAGAAAGAATTCTAGACATGTATCTCAAGCTGCCCTTAAATCATCAGTCCTCTCAACCTAATCTCATGACAATCAGATCAGTATTTTCCTGCAATCAATTGGTTTCATGTAAATGAACAGCAGAAAGCTAAAAGCTATAAAATCAGTGGAGCAACATTTGTTGACTTTCAAGACAATGCCATAATACGGGGTAAAACAGCAATAGGCAAATACTAAAATGTTACTATTCATGCTAAGTCATTAAAAAAAGGACATGGTTCTAGAATTTGATCTACTGAACCTGTTATAAAACCTTTAAAGTGTCTCTCGCAGTACATTTGATTTTAAAGCTTTGTTTCAAAGTAATCTAACTGCAAATAGAAGTAATGTTAAACCTTGAAATATCCCATATAAAAGTCATTCCAAGCTGGTAAAAGAAACAGTTTTGCTGGCAGCTCTGTAGGATGGTCTGGGTTCAGCTGGGTTTTTTTGACCATAGTTTTCAGACCAGTGTTTCTGTCCAGCCTTTTTTATGGTTAAACAGGAAGAGGCACCCTTAACTTTTTTTATGTAAAACTAAAGTGACAATTGGAAGGGGTCTGAGAACTAATGTAATATACAATATCGTTCTTGAAATGAGTCATCCTGGATGTGTTCTAGGCGAGGCTGGATGGGGCTCTGAGCAACCTGGCCTGGTTGAAGATGTCCATGCCCATGGCAGGGGGAGTGGAAGCAGATAAACTTTGAAATCTCCTTCCAACCCAAACCATTCTATGATCCTAATACCTTCCTTTAAATGTGATGATGGTACTTGCAGAAATGACACCATGTATGTGGTAAGAACTTGGAGAATGGAAAAATAGGGCCACCAAGTGCAAAAACCCTTTCCTCTACCACCATGTAAACAGGCAAGCATGTAGTATTTTTTAGTATTAAAAAAAGACAGTGTTAGCAGTGTGCAAACAAACCATACAGTGAATATAATTTCTAAGGTTAAAAAACATACCTATAAAGTTGAATGGTTTGGTTTTTTGTTGATGATTTTTTTTGTTCTTGTTTAAATACAAAGTGCTTCTATACATTAAGCAGTTTACAGTGTTAGTGAGCAAAATCCCTGTTTCAGTACCTTGATCATGAAGGTTAGACATGGCCACCATGGTATCTGTAGAGTTCAACTAAGTGCTAAGAAAAGGAACTCTGTGGTGCTGACCATTCAGGCCCATTGCCAGCAATGGGTTCACTCTACTTGGGAACATTTGTTTTAACAAAATTCCATATGAAAAAAATATTTGAAGCATTAGAAGATTAGTAATTAAGAGCCTCTTTAAAAAGAAAAAGTTTGTAAGTAGAATGCGGGTAAAGAAATTACAGTAATTACAGCTCACTGAGTACAAAACACTCAGCTGGCAGCAGACATTCATTTTCAGGATACAGCTCAGTTGTATCTTAAGACAATTTGTAACTGGGAGTTCAAAAAAGACTCTGGAGTGTAATAATCTTTGTGTGGTTTTGCTTTGCCATACAGGGTCATCTATTTCAGTACACTATCCTGCATACAGGAGTGCCTAATACAAAAACTGGGGCCAGACAGGCTTAGGCCTTTAATGCTGGTTAACTTTTTCCCCATGTGAACAGCATTGTACTTGGATATCACCTCTTTCTATTGTATTCTATGCATGTTTTAAAGGCTCTTTCCTTTTAATATTTCAGTAAGAAACTGAGAAACTTTTGCTTTTGCTTGCTAGGAAGCAATTGCTGTCGCATTGGACTACATTAAGTTTCAACCCCAAAACCCTGTTGTCACCTTTACAACTGATGCCTTTACTCTACCTGCAGAGCTGGCAGCATCTCAGAACTATACACACTCCTCCATCTATCTCCATGAATGAGAGCCCCACACATAGATCCTCATCCTAAAAAAAAAAGTGTCATTTTGCCAGCAAAAATCCCAATCTCAGACGTAAGCATGGTACCATTAAAAGATCCGAATCACATACTTCCTACTTCTTTCCACAAGCAACTTCATTTGAGGAAGTAAACAACTCTGCTTGTGATTACCAGTCACAGTAGTTCAGTACCAAGAATCTCTATTATAGTTCTTACTATTCAAAGAATTGAAAGTATAAATACCTATCAATGACTACATAATATTCCTAAAACAGGTTTCTAGAACTAGGAAGAAGTTCTCAAAGTTTTTGTACCAATAACAAGTCAGTTCATTATTCCAGAGTTTGGTACTTGCTACTGTAGTAAGCCACAAGAATTTGAACAGAAATCTACAGTTTAAGTATTTGATTATTTTGACTAAGCTCCAAATGTTACAGCTCACTTTTTGTTGTTTTTTTTTTTTTCAAATAAGACATACTTATTACACACACTTCTAAAAGCTCTCATGATGTAGTAATTAAAATCTAATGAAGTTGAGTTGAATAGCATTAGACCCTAAAGGAGCAAGAATAAAGTATACTTAATACATATTGAAGTTTATATAGTGATATAGCGATAAAAGTGTGTTACAGACTCTAAACAGAAATCAGCATTACAGACTCTAAATAGAAATCAGCACAAAATTAGAATTTGTTTTACTGTAGATTAAAAAACCAGAAAAGGGATAAAGGAAAGCCAAACCACCTTTACCACTGCCTTTCATTAAGCACTACAACAGAGGCTACTGAATGATGCACACTACCTAATGATGCATGTAAAGTATGTTGGCAGTCTTCAGCTTGAGCTGGAATTCTAATTTTTCTTTCTTTAAAATGTGAATTATATAACCCAATTTGGTCATCTTAGTTTTCTTTTCCAGTAGCAGTAGTACTACCTGAATTCCTGGTTCATCTAAGTATTTTCAGGATTTTTGTCAATTTAGTGCTGAGTTTTACTGTGAATTTAGATGACCTAGAAATACAAGACAGCTTCTAAATACTGCTGTGATTACTATGAACGTCAGATCTCATTTTGCAGGCACCTTTCAGATTAACCACACGCACTTCACACACTGAACACCTGAAGTAATAATGTGGAAAGCAAAATAAGCTTGATCTGTTTATAGCAGTCGACTCATTAAAACTTGTTTTTTTGAGAATGTACAATAGCAAGTACCAGACATTATTTGCATAATTAGTTTATTTTTCTCACTTAACTAAACAAATATAAGCACTAATGTCTTAGTTCATCTCAGTAGTACTCTGCTCAGCTTTAGAAGCCTGATAGGACTTGGTACAAGAGGTCACATGCCGATGAAAGCTGTCCCGCCACATAAATCTTTTCCCACAAATGTTACACTCATACGGTTTTATGCCTGTATGAATTTTCATATGGCCTACAAGATGGTGTTTCATTTTGAATTTCTTACCACAGACACCACAGCCATAAGGTCGAAGACCAAGGTGCATACTCATATGCCGATCTCTCTGACTTTTGTGTGTAAAGCTTTTTCCACACTGACAAGGATAGAGCTTATCGGCATGGGAAAACCCAGTGAGAGAGGTTTCTTCTTTAATTCCGGCAGCCATATCAATGCTTTCACCATAGCCTGCTGCCATCATAAGATCCTGTCTGTGAGCACTTAAATTTCCATCTGCCCTTTCACCAGAAAATTCTTCCATAGACGAGCCATAGAAGTCAACTTGTTCATCATAATTACTTTCATCTGCATGTTCATCAAATTCTGCTTCCATCTTTTTGTCACCTATGTGAAAATCTTCAACACCTGAAGACTGGATCGAGTGATCAGCCTGCATGGCATTCATTGATTCAGAAACTTGGTGTTCATCATAAGGATTATCAACGCCTTCACAGTCTTGTTCAAACCTTTCTGGTTTCACATGGATCCACCGCTTGTGAGACATGATGCTGGGTTTGCTGTACATTGGTCTGGCATACTGGTACTCTGCACTATCACTAGTTCCTTCTTCTCCATCCTGACTGGTCATTCCAGTGCTAAGTCTATCATGTTCTGTTGAAGAGTTGCTGGGAAGGTACTCATGTTCTGTCAGCTGACACGACAGTTCATCTTTAGAGCTCTCTTCTTCATTTTCACCATCCCTTAGTTCCTGCACTTTGTGGAATTCTGTCTGTCCTCCAGAGCCAAGTTCAAAGGTTTCAACAAGGCCATTATAGCTACTACTGCTTGGGGACTGATGGTCACTGCCATGATTCATCTTCTGACACAGAACTGTTGGGTTCCCCTCAAGCACTTCAGTGCACTTATCCACTACATGCCACATCTGCAGGAAGCTTGCTGCTGTCAGGTAACTAACAATTTCTGGTGCAGGCATTACCAGCCGGCCTGTATAGGTAGACAGAAGAATGTTTTCAAATACTCTGGGATTCATCACATCAGGCAGGACTATTCGCCTGCTGTTTTTCAGGAGAACCTGATCACAGAAGTAAGGTGAACTAGCTGCTAGAACAGCTTTATGGGCTCTGAAGAGATGGCCCTGAACCACAATGGACACATCACATAATTGCCCTTGCTGGCGCTGTTGGTTTAACTTCTGCAAAATGGTGCTAGAAAAATCTGGAAATTCCACTCGAAAGGAGCTTGATCCAGACTCCATTTCATTACAAATTTAATGTTTTGCTGTAAGGAAAAAAAAAATTAAAAATTCTGCTTAGTCAAGTATTGACCTTTCCATTTCCTTCTACGCTTTTTTCTTTAACAGATTCACATGGAACTCAACATGTTTTCTGGAATCTTTTGCCACTGCTGTATTTCTCTCACGCCACCTCATTTCTCTCTTCTGAAAGCCATACTAAGGCTATAAATTGCTATGCCAGCATATTTTGTTGTGTTTCTTGTCTCCAAGAGGACTCATCAACGACAGCAGGAGCTACAAAYACCAAGTTACCCAGTTGGGATAGACTAAGCGTTTCAAATGTGCATTTAGGATAATGAAAACTGTTATTTAGTGAAATTATACAGTAGAGTTCTAACTCCCAGGATGTCCCAGAGTTTGTACCAGCATATGAAAGATTCTGTATTTCAAATGCCAGCAAAATAATCTCATTGATCCTCCAATAAACACTGATTTTACTCATGAAATATTTAACTTTGAAGAGTTTTCAAAAGCAACTGTATCAACTCAAGAATGACATTGGAAGCACAGGCAGAACCCCACTAAGAATGAAGCTTATGACCCCTCTCATGCATTTCCCTATTGTTTTATTAACTCGAAGCTGGAACTGCAACAGCATGTACAGTTTTAATTCCAAGCTTATTGAGATATTATTACAACATTCCTTTTAGGAAAATCATACAGAATTTAAAATATCAATCAAGAAATTGATACGTCTGAGGCACAGAATTTTTCCTGCCTGTATCCGGTGTATTTGTAACATTAACAATTACATGCCAGAACTTCAGATAAGAACCCCCAGATTTTCACATCTGTATTCCCACATCAGATGTCTTAGTACAAAGTTAACAGCCCTTTAAGTAATAAAACAACTTTATAAAATGCACACTTGAAATTGTAAATTGAATTTTAGATAAATTTGCACATTATTGTAATTAGAAATTAGAGAAATGTAAGTGCAACTATGAAAGACCGACATTAGCTGCTCAAATAAGTTAAACTTGTACAATTTTTCAATTTGATCATGAGTAAACTGAATGCAATGGGATTCTTGAAGAGCCATGGAGCAGCAAATGGATTCCTTTGTCAAGTTCCATGAAGTTATCACCCACATAATTGCAGAAGATCAACTTTAAATTTACTATCTTTGGCACTCCTCAGGTTTTTTCTCTCAAAGCACCAACTCTCTTCAGAAAGGAATTAGCTACCAATACTTAGCCAATGAGCAATGCAATATTGCACCTGCCAGTTTAACTGTTAATTTTTTTACCATTTTACTTAAAGCAATTTGACATCATTAAAGTATTTCAAGTTACCTTATACTTTGTGTACATTATGTCTATTTTTTATACAGATGCAGTTCCTTACCTTCCTTCAGCATATTCTCAGATTTAAGACTTTATTTTTCAGTATGTGCCTGCAAAAAAAAATAAGCCTTTAGAAGATGCTCAACTGAAATTCAAAGACAGCCACCTATAGAATTTATATACAATTATTGGTAATTTAAACTGTCATTTTTCAGCAACGACTCAGCATGTCACTACAAAAACATTTCCAAGCGATAGCAGACTTTTATGGATTTTAAGTTCTCATGAAGACAAAATGTAAGTAAAGTATTTTCAATTAGCAAAGCCATACAAGTTAAGAAAAGTGGTTTTCCAAAGGGGTTTCACTTCTTCTTTCAACGATGTTTGGCTCTGTACTTCCTATACTCCACACTCATAAAGAACAAAGTCCTTCTATTTCAGTTTATTTAAAAGAAAATAGTATCTATGCTGGAGTATTGAGTAGAACATATAAGGCACAATTTAAACTGCTTTAAAATAACATTACTTTAGTAAGTGCTAAGAGGGAGTTACTTCCCCGCTCCACGCGCAGGCCGACAGACACTGATGTCTCCCCGTCCCAAAGCGATGCGGCAGCGGGAGCCGGGGAGAGGCACCGGAGAGACCCCAGCGCT